AGCCTGCATGAATAGTTTCTCTGTGGCTGCACCACAGAGATGAACAGAGAAATGAGGCCTCATTTGGGAAAGCTCAGAACACTTAATTCTTTCTTATTAATAAACCTCGCCGCTACACTGTATAGTGGAATCTCTTCTCCACAGTTGGGGAGCTCTGACAACCAAAATCCCTTTTGCGATTTGTAACCAGATAACTGTGACTCCCTTCCAGGGTACAGAAAACTTAACCCTCAGTCTTAAACATGAACAGAACCTAACCGCATCAACTTCTAACCAGAAGTAGAAGCAGGGTAACCATTCCCCTCTTCTGTTGGCCAGCAATGCTAATCATAACTCATATCTGTGTCTGAGACAAAGCAGCAGAGGGTCTTCTACTACATTTCCAGTCTCATTGGTTGCTGATGAAATACATTACTGCCAAACCTACTGGTAGCCGCCTTCTCTTCCTCTGTATTAACCATAGCACAAAAACACTACTTTGAACCTTTTGATTTTCACCCAGTAGGTACAGATAACTGAAAGACACCTAACTGATCTTCGCTAGGGAGATCCAAGCATGCTTTTCCCTTCAACCGCCTAACCTAACTGGCCTTGTCTTAATCTTATCCTATCTAATCGTCTCATCTGACAGGTCTTTTCCATCTAAAAGGAGCTTTAACCAGAAACTGATGCTAAAGCTAAAGTTCTTGCTGTCTTTCTGTGTGTATCTGTTGATAATCTATTTAAAGGACCACTAATGATCACTACAGGAGCACTGTATTGCTCCCATGTGAAAAATATGTTTACTTAACCTGCATAGGCATTTGACCCATTCTCCTAAAAATGCTTTAACTACAAGCTATAAAATTAATCTGATTCTCCAGGCATGTCAACCAACCAAAGCTCTCTTACAGGAATTAACTGCCCTGTTACAGACTCTTACAGGTACTGTACTGTATTAATTTTTTACAGTACCTACTGTATCTCAAACAGAATATTCAAATTGCTGTTTCCTCCATATCTGTCCAGGTGTAAATGGCACAGTCTCCACATTGACACCCCTGGTGACTCCAGTGATACCAAGCCTCAATACTGTGACCACCAGTTCCACGGAGAGCCCTGCTCCCCACATCCCCACCTACCCACTACCTCCTGGAGGTTAGTAATGCTATTTAGTGCAGGTTGTGTGCAGCTCTATACTGTCTCTATACTGATCATGACTGCATTTCACTCCTCTGTCTGCCTTGTCTTTATTTGTCTCTGATATCCCCTCCTTGTTCTGTAGAGGAGTGCCGTGGTCCTCTCGATGTCAGGTCACTGCCAGACTCCAGTTTCAGTGCCTCTTCTGAGCAACTAGGTCACCCTCCCTCAGAAGGACGGCTGAATTCACAGGATTCCCGCCGTGATCTGCAGGGTTGGAGCCCTGAGCCAGACCAGTACAGGGCACTGACCACTTGGACACCTGATGACCATGCTGACCTTGGTGACCTCATTGACCTCACAGCACAGCCTCCATACCTACAGCTCGACCTACTTCAGCCCCGTAACATCACTGGTATGTACTCTGAGTATAATAGGGAGGGCTTCCCACAATCTTTTTTCAAGGAATTTAATTGTTGCTTTTAGTGGTGACTGATATGATAACTACCAAACTAACCACAAATAAATGGATTTAACAGCCATTTTTCAATCTGGCCATTTTATGATCCGTAGACAGAGGGAGAAAGGAGGTTTGGAGGAGTGCAATATTTTAACTTATACTTAAGCAAGTGTGACAGAAGCTGATACTCTGGATTTTTAGAAGAAATTGTGTCATCGTAATTCTTCTACCAGAATGGCCCCCATTTCAGCCGAATGGCCTCCTCTGTTTAGTAGCATTTCTTAAGTTCTTCATGATGCTTTAGATAATGCCAACAAAACATCAGGAAGAGCTCGGGATACAGTAAAATCTCCAGGCCATAAAACAAACTAGAGTGCAACAGCTTTTATCAGGTTAAAGCACAGCAATGTTCAGCTGGTCTGCATAAAGTCTGTTTTCTTTCAATTAATTTCTTACTCTTTGTCTGCCTCTGTCTCTCAGGAATTATAACACAAGGAGGGGGTGCCTTTGACACCTTTGTGTCTAGTTTTTACCTGCAGTTCAGCAATGATGGGCAACATTGGTACACCTACCAGGAGCTGCTAACTGATGCACGCCCAAGGGCTAAGGTATTTTGACTCATGCTTGCTAATTACCATCCAAGGCATGAATAATCACGCTATAGCAAAAAGTGGTTTCCTATTTTAAAAAAAACCAATGACTGCATGATATTACCAGATTGATTTCCTTTCCCTTGATTTCTTCAATTTCATCTCTTTTTTACTCTCTCCATTCCTCTCTCTCAAATTCGAATTTAAATAAGGTCTAACCAAATGTTTTTCTTCCAGAGCACTATCAGCAATGCAAATAATAATAATTATAAATAACCACCCCTATCCCTACCATTCTTTTCTTTATCAATCTCTATATGTACAGAAGAACAAGCAAAGGCAGATGCTCACAGTGGAATGGCAAATAGTTGGCAAATATTTGGTTCCTGGTTCCAGCATCTGGGGCATAACAGGAACTACTGTATATCTCTGTCCTGACCTCTTTTCTTTTACAGCATCTTTTTCCTTCTAGGAAATTCTGGGCCAATTGGCCATTGAGCCCTTTCTTATTCACTCCCCAGGTGTTTCTTGGGAATTCAGATGATTCAAGCACAGCCGTGACCCGCCTGCAGAGAATGGTGTTGTCGCGGTTTGTCCGCATCCTGCCGCATGACTTCCACAATGCCATTTACCTTCGTCTAGAATTGCTGGGCTGTGGGGAAGGTACGACACACACCTCTCACACTCATTCACAGACCTTTTTATTCATTGTTGGCCACCTTCACTCTTTGTTTCATTCTCAATATATTTTTTGATTCCTCTGTCACTACCTACCTATCTTTCTCTCATAGTCTGTCTTTCTCCCAGCATTTTTCTCTCTCAGTTGATTTTTCTCTTTTAATCTTTCAGTATACAGTAAGAGTTGCTTAATGATACTTTGTTGCCTCATTCTGTCTCAGTTTCTACTCAGTTTATATTTCCACAATATCAAAATATCAAACTCTGACAAAGGCTCAGTGACCAGTGCCTGGCCATACAAAATAGGATACAGGCAATCATGGCTACCCAGAGAGGAGAGAAATACCCTGGGAGCAGACAAACATTCTTTCTTAAAAGAACAAATCTAATCCCAGAATCCTCACACCTTCCAGAATCAGAACAGCTTCTAGTTGTGCTAAGGGAGGGAGAGGAAACATTAGTGCTGGCAGCCCAGTATGTTAATTCCTGTCACACCCTGAGGAACAGTGAGCCTCAGATTAATGTTTTAGGTGATATGCAGTATGTAAATATCCAATGATTTTTGTAATGTGTCTGTAAATGTTGCCTTATTTGTTACTGCTTTGACAGCACTATGTAATTCATTGGTCATGTCAAAAATTTGAATTTGAAATTGAACAGTATCTCACAATCTCATTTGTTCTTTTTTTGTCTATATCTCTACCTCTGCAGCTGCTCACAGGATGTCCACCCCTCTACCCCCTGCCCCATCAGTCTCAGTATTTAAGCTGTGTGAAGAGGGACAATTTCACTGCAGAAATGGGCGCTGTGTGCCAGCAGGGCCCAATGGGAGTGTGTGTAATGGGGTCAATGACTGTGGAGACGCTTCCGATGAGCTGCACTGTGGTGAGCTCCAATTAATCAATCAGTGAAATTATATCTGTCAATCTATCTGTCTGACTTTTGTGAATGTATCTGTCTATGTAATGTATCTATATTTGGAAGAAGTATTATTTGATGTAAATTGACTCTGCTCTGACTACTACTGCCATTACAACTAATAATAATGAACTGCAATTTCACATCTCACATTAACATCTCAGAATTTAACATTAACATCCATAGCTCATGGCAGTTCTAAAGCACAGTGTCCCTGGTCACCATACTGTACCAGTTTTAGTTTGAAATCCCTTGGTGAGAGAGAAGGGTGCCACCTTCTGGTCCATCAGAACCACTTTCAGCAGCAGTCTGGTTTTCCTTTGAAATGAGGTTCTCCTGGTTTTCTTTATTCAGACTATCTTTACAGCATTACCTCTTTTATAACAAAGGCAAAGTATAACTCCACTGAATGCCTCCATACAGACAACAACAAATCAACCTTCTTCACTTTCTGTGGGACAAGTTGGTGATCTACGTTACTCTCTGATGTGGGTGCTAATGAACTATTTCACTGTCTGTAGTGGATTTACTTGATTGAATTGTGCTGTCAGTACCCCTTCACTTCTCCAGCCCTGTAGATTTCTAGTCCTTCAGCTTTCATTGCTGATTTTTTAATCAGGCATTTTGCCTTTGGGTTGTATTTAAATATTCTGATGAGTTAGTAATTCATTTAGGGTGTCTCTTTACCTTAAACATCTCTGGGAATAATTAGGAACAAGACCTTTTTCCATCCATTTCTTACAACACCAATCTCATTTTTAGTGAGAATGCATACTTAAAGCTGAGCTGCTGACCTGAAGGTGATCTGTCTTGAAGTACTGTAGGAGAACCGGTAGATCTGTGCAGCTGATTGCCAGCCTGTGTTTCATATGTCTGCTTTGTGTTTCTGCAGGCTCCTCTCCCTCCCCACTGTCCCCTGGCCCTCGAGGATGCCTGACGTCTCAGTTCTCCTGCCCTCCCTCAGGCCCCTGCATCAGGGTCTCACAGCGCTGTGATGGCAGAATGGACTGTCCGGATGGTGCAGATGAGAGGGGCTGCACCCCCTCTTTAGACACCAGCACACCAGGCACAGGCGGACACAGGTAAAGCACTGTCACTCTCAGAAAACCGCTTTGAAATACAATAACACAGCAATAAACCCTGTGAGACACATAGTAACATACTGACTCACAGTGCACGCCACTACATCACATTCTAACATCACTGGAAAAGAGTAATGGAGCCATTGACAGGTATTGCCTTAACATTCACAATTTCACTTGTTAAGAGTTAATTGGAAAGAAAAAACATTCATACTGTATTAAATACAAAATTACTTTGTACAGTAGGAATAATGGCTATGATAGATCACACATTATTATAGTATTATAGTATGATTAAGTCTTAATTATATACTATTAATTTACTACTATAATTCCATCTTGTGTTGTCTGTTTAGGCCTTCGGAAGACACTAGGAATGCTACAGTGGCACCACCCCCTCACCCTTCAGAATCAAGGACACATGCCATGGCTGCTGTCACCTTCTCACAAACTGATGGGCATCCTGGCCTTCCTACAACACCTGTGAGACTCCAGATTGTTGTGTCCTGACAGCACTGACTGGCTCATACACTGCGTATAAATCTTTACTTTCAAAGCACATGCCAACCAAAGCATTTCTTCCTATTTTAATATTGTCCTGTTAAAAAAAACATGTAAAGACATATAGTATGTCCATTTGGATTAGTTCCATCAAAAAACAAGAAGCTCAAGGAAAATAATTGCTTAAAGTTGGATTTAGGGTTAGCGATCTTTGGTTGCAGTGCTACATGAAATAGCAATTTAGTGTCAGTCATTTGTATTGCTTTCAAAACCACTAGTAATTTATGCCAATAAAAAATGTTAATCTGATAAAGGTTATAACCTTATATATGGCCTTACAAAATTCCATGACAACATAAAAAATTACTTGAAATACAGTAACTGCCAGAAGAAGAAATCTTTTGTGAGGTTCTCTTGTAAGGCTTGCAAACAAGTACAGATCACATAGGAAAGGCACCTAAAGTGCAAGACAAGAAGTCCATTATTGTGGAAATATGTTTCTTTTAATTTTTCACATTTGGTTAGCAGAAAGTGCCACTCTTTCTTGACCTGCTCCAACTCACAGTGAGCACACAGTCTGTTCCATACGGAGGTCAAAAGAAAGTTTTAATTGAAACTCTGTAGTGGCTAAGCTTATATGTTGTTAGCGTTTGAGTTTGAGTTTTTTTTAATATGACAAGATATTTTGCTAGAGTAATTTTTTTAGGACCTCTTACATTTCATTTTTCTTATAATTTAATTTCCAGTGGGATTTGTGTGTACTTTCTAGCCTAATTTGGTTTGTTGCTGGGATTTTCTTGATGGATGCACTGTAGAGCTCAATGGTTTTAATTTGCATCAAATGAGTGAGCATCTTTAATAGTTGATGGACTAAACTCTTTCCCAGGGACAGTGTGTGTAACCTAGGAATGTAGATTATCTTACTGCAGATGAACCCTGTACTTCAGTGCTTGTTTCTGTATGGAGTGAAGTTAAGGCAACAGGCAAGATTTTTGTAGGACCTTATGATGTTCATCATAAATTTGATTCTCTTAAGTCCCTATCTTGTTCTCATTGTCTCCATGTCATTCCAAGCAGTGAGTAAACTAAGCTCAGAACAATGGTTCCATTTCATCTTAAGTGTTCTGAGATTGATCTTCATATATTTTGCAGTTGTCTTAGGCAGCAAAGTCAGTCAATTTATACTGTAAATAAGCAGTGAAAGCACTAGTTAATATCAAAGCCAGTTAACTACAGGTAAGTGAGATGCCAAGATCTTAATTAAAGCTACTTACATTTGTTCCCATTTATACAGTTGGGAATTTTAATGAAACAATCTCAGTGAAATATCTTGCTCAGGGCACACAACAGTGTCCCACCAGGGATTTGGACCTACTCGTTTTTAGTCCAAGGTTGCCTATCCCTGAATAAAAAAAATAATTTCATATACAGTATATTCAAATCTGTAAGCTCAATATCTGGTGTAAAGCGGTGGACGCAATAACAGCCTCAAATGATAAACAATGATACTGGCTTTGTGTGGTGTACCTTTTTTTGCCCATTCTTCTTGGTAGGTTTGCTGAACCACTCTCAAGATGCTATAAGATTCAAGTCAGAACTTTGACAGGGCAACATAAAGACATTCATAATGTTATGCCACTCCAGAGTAGCTTTGGCCTCAAGCTTTTCATCACAGTTCTGAATTATCTTGTCTGACCACAAAACCTTTTACCACACGTTCTACCACAAGTTTGTTGAATCACATTAAAGTTTATTTTTTGCACTTCATCCATATACCCATGCAGAATTTGAGATAGTTTTGTTTTAGTTCCATACAAGCCTCCTTTGTGGAGTGACCAGGACATTGATGACACTGGACTTTTTCTCCCATTTCTGCCATTTAACTCTTTCAAAGTCACTGTTGGCCTCACAGTGACAACCTGACTCTTTGCCCGGCAACATAGTTTGGAGGGACAGCCTGCTCTAGACAGTTTGTGTGGTTTCCGCTTTGACTTCATTATGCGTAAAGAGACATTATAGGTGTTTGAAAGGTTTTTATGTCCTTCTCCTGATGTGAGCCTTTTATACAGCTTTATTCCTGAATTGTTTTGGAAGCTGCTTAATAGTTGAATCTTTGCTTGAAATTCACTGCATGGCAAAATGACCTTACAGCATGTATTTATTCTGAAAACATCCAAACTATTACAATACTTTTACACATAGACAGGGGCCACACAACTGCTTCTGTGTCTAATTAAGGCAATTTTGTGCATTTAAGTTTGGTTTCCCACAGCAAAGGGTTGAAATAGTTTCAATATGCAATAATGACTTTTCCATTTCCCTTTCACATTAATAATCTATTTAATAATTCTGCGCAATGGTCTGAATCACAAGGCACTGTATAAGAACATTGTAAAATGAGATTCCCTGCGGACAAAAGGAGGCCAGTCCACTTCCTTGTTTACTGATATCTAATAAATCCTAGATCTTTATGCAATTGTTTCCTGAGTGTTGGTTTCATAACATGTGTGTAGTTTGTTTCAAACTTTGAGTAAATTCAAAGAAATTCATAATCATCTATTATTAATTATATGTATGTTTGTCTTTCTCTAGGTAAGTGTATATGTCTGTGTTTTTAGTAGGTCAGTTCTTCTCCTGCCTAACCCCTTTCTCTCTCTTTCTGTCTCCAGAAGCCTATAGGTGCAGGCGGAAGCCCTCAGCCATCAGGTGTGTTTTCCTTTAATCAATTAGCATCTGTATCCACAAGCCTCAATTAAGTCATTTACCTTATATAGGTTCACAACTTATTTAAGCAAACCGTCTTCCATACAACTTGTGACAATAAATGTTTAGTGCCAGAACTACTGTATGTTGTATCATAGTAAGATATTCCAAGAGAAGTTACATTTTACTGCTGGAACTGTAAACTATCTTCTCTGAGAGATTCTAATGGAAATGAGAAAGTTTAAAAGCCTGTATTAAGTGATTAGTAGACCTTTATAGCTAACATTATGTTTTTTTTATTTTTGGTTTGTGCCAGATTGTGAAAAAGATTGAAGAGAAATCCCTGGAAATACTGCAAACATGTTACAAATCAGGGTAGAGTTTGGAGTAGTTGTACTGGTAGAAGTGGTAGAATTGCATTGTTCTCCTGAATATTCAGCTGTGATTACATTTTAGGAATGTCAGGGTACCAGCCTTTTGGCATAGTGTTTTTTAATGTGCACTTGGGCTATACATTTTGGTGTCTAAAACACATACATATATGAACGGAGAGGCACTGAATTAGAGCATTTTAAAAAATGGAGTATGTCTGCCTCAGGCATGTATGGTTACCAGTTTGCTTTCAGCTAAGGAAAAAAAATAAAAAATGACAATTCTTTAGACTCAGAACTGCTTTCCTCCAACTTCTGTTACCTTTTGTGGAGATCTTAAATTGGGCTCTAAGACCAGGAACCAACCATCTAGTTTTTAGGAGTCACTGAAACAGACACTTACAGGACTACTTTCAAAGCTAAAGCATGTTTTTTCAGAGGAATTGCTGTACAAAACTGTGTCTTCCCGTACTCCATAGTCCCCTGCGACTTGCCCCTGGGTCTCGAGGATGGGCGTATCCGATACGGCCAGTTGAGCGCCTCATCGCACCATGAGAACAACCCCGCTGATGCAGGCCGCCTCAACATCGTTCCCAATGTGTAAGGGACAAAGAAAGGGAGGAGGAGTGAGGGTGGATACGGGAATAGGGACACTGAGGGTGGACCATACTGAGATCTGTCCCACCACCACAGCACTAAGCATTCTCAGTGGTGCTGTGTCTTCTGCAAATATATTAACCCAAATTGAGTTTTATGTTAAACTCAATGTCAAAAATCCCATTGACTAAAACAATATATGGACAGTAGGGAGTTACACTCTGAAATCGACAACATATAGAGTTAATGACAATTGTCCTTTTGGACATAAAGGTACAGTAGTTAACCGTATCACAGTAAATTTTAACTAATTCCAGGACTGCAAAGTCTAGGTATCTAAACTGCTTTTTTCATGATTCTTCCCTGTTTCTCAGGCTTACAACTATGTGTAATTTCCAAACTTTGTTCCATACTGAAAGGAAAAGAGAAGAGACCCAATGTTTCAGATGTGGAGCCTTCTTCAGATGTGACAGTTGAAGAAGTCACCACAGCCAAAACATTGTGCCTCTTTTCTTTTGCTTTCAGCATGAAATAAACTTTTACCTGTTCATTTGTTACTTGATCTCCAACACATTTCTAAAATTTTCTATGTTTTTAAATTAGTTCTAAAATTAGTTACACATTACTTATAACCTTCTGTCAGACCAAGAACTGAAAATATAGAAGTTTCATTTTTTATTGGTTGACAGTTTTGCATTGAGTGACATTTTCAAAAGTTTAAACTATATCAGATGTTGCTCATTACATGTATAAATTCTATATAACCAGGAATATATGAAGATAGCTAAGAAGCTTGTTGTAAGTGACTTCTACTATGATTAATACAGTTTTATCAACAAAAGTTAATTGTTTCTGCCCTTCTAGCCATCTTGTCTACACATTACTTTCAGCATGTCTTGTCCTTCTGTGTACTGTATTTCTGTCTAGTATTATATCTCTTTGTCTCCTGTAGCCTCAACATGGAGCCAGGGTGGAGCCCCCTGCAGGGTGACTCGAGCCCTTACTTTCAAGTGGACTTCCTGAAACCCACCTGGGTGTCGGGAGTCGTGACCCAAGGCAGTGAACGGGCACGTGGCTCTCTTACCAAATACCGCCTGTCCTACAGTCTGGGAGGGGCAACGTTCACAGACTATACTGAGAGCACAGAGGGGAAAGGCAAGGCTAAGGTACTAACACACTCTTATAAATCTGGCCTCATCTATGGTGACAGAACACACAGTATGTTTTAATGGGAGTGCATGTGTCAGCCATGAAAACAATGTGAGAACAGTGAATGTTATATATTAGAATGTTTGGGTTTTGTAAGTAATTTACTCTACAGATAGATATTAGTCTATCAATGATAATCTTTCTACAGTATATTTAAAGAATATCTTTGAAAGGTTGCTTTCCTTTTGCAATAAAATGTTATTTAATATAAAATAACGAACCCTCGGAAGATACAGTTCTTACTCAAAATGAATGGATGGATAATGGACATTAAAACACTGAAGTCATGTTAGATGGAAACCGCCAATAATATCATGGATGCAGCACTTTATTATAAAAAGACAAGTATCAAAATAGAAGGCAGTAGCTGATAATGTAGGGAATATGTATTCACAAATAAATTAATAATTAGTATGCAATTTTTATAATTTAAACTCTACTGCAATGTGCCCCTGGCAGATTTGATCAGGGCTACTATCAGGCCCAGAAACATACAGTGCCACTCTATAGCCAGCAGAGAATCTTAACTGTGCCACAAGACTGGGTCTTCTGCTGTGGAAGAGTTTTACACTGTCTAGTTTTAAGAGGGTTTTCCATCACTTCTGCAACTGACTCAGCGTGTGGCATAAAGACCTGTTTACAGTAAATGTCCTTTACACAGGTCCAGGCAATCAAGTTATTGCAGAAAGCTGTGTTACGGTGTGTTTATTCACACTGCTGTATATCCAGGTGTTTGAAGCTCGTGCTGATAGCAGTGCCCCAGTGACCCAGATGCTAGGCCAGGTGATCCAAGCACGTTATCTGCGGATCATCCCAGTGGCATTTACGCACACTTTCTACCTACGTGTTGAGATACTGGGCTGCACTGATGGTGAGGGTCTGTTTGCTGTGTGTTTGCCCATCCACCTGTTGAATATTCTTTTTCTGCTTACTCTGCTTCTCTATTAGGCATTGATTGTCCATCAACACCTTAATCTTTCCTTCTGTTACCTGGTCTCCTTCAGTTTTTCCTGTTGTCCTCTGTGCCTCACTAGCTTCTCATTGTCATCTTTGTCTTTGTTTCTTCACCTTTCACCCACATTGTTTTAATTTTAGGATTAGTGAGCTGCTAAGTGCCAGAAGACAGTGCTAAGGGTTGCTGAATGTTTCACTTCTCAGATGAGACCCCACTTCCTGGCAGTGTGACAGCACCACGACGACGCTGTGGGCCAGGGCAGTTCGAGTGTAGCAGTGGGGAATGTGTTAGTGCCCAGACTGCACTGTGTGATGGCCGACAGGACTGTGCTGACCACACAGATGAGCTCGGCTGTGGTGAGCAGCGACACAGACAAACACAACAAGCACACGTGTACATGCACAATTTGAGCATTGTTAAGCAGAGATCAATGTACAGTACTATGATACATTATAAGATAAGATCACTTTATTGGCCATATACAATTACTTGTATTAGGAATATGTCTTTTCACATACCCCAGCTTGCTTTCCATGAGACACACAGACAGGGAGAGAAGCCTGGGGTCAGAGCGCAGGGTCAGCTATTTATACGGTGTCCCTGGAGCAGCTGGGGTTAAGGGCCTTACTGAAGGGCCCAACAAAATAGGGTTACCATGCTGGCTGCAGGATACGAACCAGCAACCTTCCAGCCACAAGTGCCGAGCCTTAGCCACATAGTCAGCGCACCACCCCAATTACCACTGAGCAGAATACAGCAGTACAGCAGGAACATAATGAAAACATTGACAAATGTGGGCTAGTTTTAAATGCCCACAATTATAATCAGCAGTAAGCAAGCATGTTGTATATCAGAATTATGCTGCTTTGCCCTCATGTATTAAACATCTGTTGAATTATATTTTAAAGTCGTCCCTGAAAAGAGTACAGTTCCTAAATCCCTCTTTCACTGATCATTGTGTCTCTCTCTTCAAAGGCACTGTGTACCCCCTGTCCACGCAGTCTGCCATACTGCTCACCACAGCCCCCCGAGAAAGAAATGAAGCCAAGGCAGGGGGGCACACTGTGACTCTCATCCTCCCACCACCCACACAGGGAGGTATGGCACTCATCCAATTACTGGAATCTCTCTCCGTGGGAATTCTGGCATTTCTCTACATTATTTAAAACTGTCTCAAACCTACTCCTTCATAGCCCTAGCCTTAACTCCAAGATTGTACCCCTGACCTTAACCCTAACCCTAGACCTATATTTATCCTGAAAAGCAGGAACTTCCCTAATTTATGTAAATCCTAAAACCATTCCTAAAATTCACTTGGTTTATTGAAGCTGCTAGTCATTTTTCTTAATGGGATGCATTAGCACCTTGTACAGGAGCCTTGTGTCACAGTAATGTACTGCCCATTACAGTACTTGCTATATGTACAGTAGCACTTCACATTATCCATTTACAATAGCACAGTAACCTCGGGACTTAGCATAATACAATCTAACCAATAAAGTCCATATACATAGAACATTATTTTAATATTTTATAACTTGACTGGTTGACACTTCAACTAGACGAACAGGGGGGCGTGACAAGTGTGCACTGGTGCTTGGGGGGGGGCATGGTCCAGGCGAACAAGTCCAAGGGAGCCTGAAGGGAAATCCAGACTGAATAGCAAGAGTTCAGAGCTGGGTGATCCATCCAGGACAAAACAAGACAAAGTTAAAAACTGGAACAGGATCCGGTGCAGGGAGAGGGAATAAAAATGGGGATAACGGGACCAAGCGTGGACTCTTAGTCCCGGACTCAGCTGGGTCAGGACACCGATAGGAGGCCTATGCCGTCAAGCCATGAGCGTAGGGCGACTTGGTGGTAGGCAGTCCTTCAGGTGTCCGTCTTCCAATGCAGAGCCCGGAATAGAGTGAGCATCTGGGTGGAGGTGCTGGATTGGAGGCAGGTGCACATGATCAAGTAAAATGTGAAAGAGCCGGAGCGCCCTTAAGAGGAGGGATTACAATCGTGACACTAACACTACTACTTACTGTACACTATAGCAGTTACTAATGAGTGACAAGGCTGAATATTTACAGAATGGCTAGCAAAGGCTTTGAAGGCCACTTCTCCTTTGTAGCCTTTCAAATGCATTTATGCTTTTGCTGCTAGCCTTTGCCTGTTTCTCAGCCTGCTGTGGCTTCAGCCAGTCTCTTAACATGTTCAAGTAGGTAGTTGTGTATGCATGCCTAGGCTGCAAAGAAACAAGTAAAGGTGTATTCCATGCTGAAAGGAGAAGAAAAGAAACACAACGTTTCGGCTGTGGAACCTTAAACCCAAAAAAGGCTCCACAGTCGAAACACTGTGCTTCTTTTCTTCTCTTTTCAGCATGGAATAAACCTTTCCTTGTTCTTTTGCAGTCTCTTAACATGCTGCTCTGTCTCACTTTCTCTTCACAGACTCAAAGCCCCACCCATCAGGGCCTGCACATCCTTTCCCCAGCTCTACAACTCCTGGACCAGGGATGCTCCCAGGGGTCAAAGAGCACACTGGCCCTACAGGGACCCCAGGGGTCCTGATATCAGGCTCTCCTAGCTCTCCTGCCTCTCATGGAGGTGGACCAGGTCTTCACACAGGGGGCCCCCAGGATGGGCAGCCTGGCCTGGCCACTCCCAGCTCCCTCACTACAGGTGCCCAAAGTCTAGGACCGCAACAGCCGGTAGCCACAGGAGAGCCAGGAGTTCACCATATAACCACCTCCAGGAGTGGGGGACACATACCAAGTCTTTCACCCCCGCCTCACCCTACCCCTTCTAAGGACATGTACAATGAACTGGGAACCCTCTTAACTGCCGCCCCTGGAGTGCGCCCCATGACCTCCCTTCCCAGCCACCCTGGTCTGCCTCCCCTTCCTCGACTGGCAGGAACCACCCCAACCCCTCTAACTATTGAGATCACAGGCAAGTTTGAATCTCACAATCTGCCTATGAATGTCTGTTTCTCTGTGTTTGGCTCCATGACTCTATCGCTTCTGTTTGTCTGCTTGAAATCTGACTATGAATCCCTCCATTGTCTTTTTGTCTGTCTTGTCATGTCTCACAATAAATCTTTCTGATTCAAATTCTAAAAGTAGCTTTTTTAGAGTATAAGGTTATACAATATCTTACTCTAAATCAGAAAAGCAATATGAAAACATAGTTCAGGTAAGGAGCTGCGTCAGCATGCGTTGGCTGCAAAGGAACAAGTAAAGTTTTATTCCATGCTCTAAAGAGACACAACGTTTTAGCTGTGGAGCCTTCCAGCTGTGTGAGAGACAAAAAAAAATCAGCTGTTGATAAAGCATAGGAGAACATGTGGAGAGGAGATGGGAGCAGGGGAGAAGCACAGAAGCAGAGTTGACACTGAGGTGGTATGAAGTGAAGAGAGGTGTGAAGTCAAAACCTGCAAATGAATAGAGGATTAGAAGGAAATGAGTTGTTGAGAGAAAGAGGATCCTAGTTTCGGATAGTTTTGGTTCTGAATGTCTTTCTGCAATAGAAGTTCCAAAACCCCTCTTTGAGAGCGTAGACGGAGAGATCAGTATGATTGTGACCATTACAGCTGAAATGGGAATCTACGTTCTTGGAGAGATCTTTGATCCTCACAGCCCTGACAAGTTTCCTCAAACAGTCTCCCAGCCTCCTTCCTACTTCACCAATGTAGATAGCTTCTGCAAGAGATGCAGTAAATAAGATTGCTGGAGGTACAAGATGTCATCTGAGTGATCTGGAATTGATCAGAGGAGCTTTGAATGTGCGTGGTATTGGATATATATTTACGGGTGATGCAGCGAGTTCTGTTGCCCGGTGTGGATGATTGCTGAGGGTGATCAAGGTTAGCTGTGAACAAGAAGGTTGCGCAGATAAGGTTGTCAGTGAAATGAGATGAAGTTGTCATTAATGGTCCTGGGGACAGAAAGGTGTTATGGTGGTAGGGAAGCACCAATGGAATGCGATTGTGAGGCCGGGAGTTCCTAATTGAGCTGATGATCTGAGGGATGTTTTTGGTTGGGAAAGGGCCCTGTCAATAACATGGGTGGGGTATCTCCTATTAATGAAAAAAGAGCGCATTTTGAGAGCTTGGTTTTGGAAATCCATATCGTCACTGTAAAGTTGTTGCAGTCAGAGAAACTGTGAAAAAGGGAGAGAATTTGTAGTACAGTATGTGTGGTGTGAAATGAGCTGTACAAGAGATACTGTAGCTGTGTGAATCTATGGGTTTGTAATAGACACAAATAGAGATTCATGGATGGTTAATGGATAGGTTTATGCCTAGAAAGAGAAGAGTAGTGAAAGATATGTTACCTACTGTATATACTTGAGGGATGGGTGGAAGTTGGTGAAGTGATGTTGCAAATGCTCTAGCTGGTTGTTAGAGCATGTGGCGGCATCAACGCAGTCATCAATGTACTGTATCTCCTGTAGAGGTCAGGGACAAAAATGGTGTGGGAAGCGAAGAAGCGCTCTTCTACCCAGCTCAAAAAAATATTAGCATAGTTGGGTCCATCCTGTTGCCCATGGCAACTCCACTAACCAGCTGATAAAAAAAGGTTATTGAATGAGAAAGCATTCAGTATGAGGATCAATTCTGCAAGACATACAGTACAACAGTGTGGGTGGGTGGATCAAGAACTGTGTGTTTTTCCAGCGTGTGCTTGAGGGCTGTAAGACCGTCATTGTGGGGAATGACAGTGTATAAGGATGTGATGTCCATAGTAAAAATGTAACATTCTGGGCCCTGAAACTGGAAATCGTTAAAAAGTTGGAGAGCATGGTTGGTGTCCTTGATGTATGAAGAAAGGCCTTCAACCAGTTATATGAAGACATAAGTGCATAGAAAGTGTATAAATAAGCAGAATCAGAATCAGAATTACTCTGTCCTCTTCTTATTAGGCTCTAGTTCGGTGACACCTACTACTCAGGAAAGTGACCATGGACATCCTAAGATCCTGTGCGTGGAAGGCCAGTTTGCTTGCCATGTGTTTGGCTGTGTAGATGCCATGTTTGTGTGTGATGGACAGACAGACTGCCCCGATGGATCAGATGAACAACAGTGCGGTGAGTGTGTGCTGAGTGCATTTAATGAAGACTATAGTGGATCATGAAATTTTAAAGAAATGGGCTATTCTCCATTTGTGATACTAAGATGGACTTGAGCATGGATTATTAACATGTATTGGGGTCATTATGTACTTTGGTCATAAATGTGTTAACAATACAACTCATGAATTATAATTTTCACTTTTTCCATTAACTGATATGTTTAATATACCTAATCTAACACATTAAGTTAAATATATAATTTAAGACAAAGTTAATATTTGAAGTGGCAGTTTCAATGTAATCCTCATAGACATAATAGAAAGGGCATTCAAAATCCTGAAGAAAAAAGTTGGAATAACATTGTCTATTCTATAATTTTGTTTTGTTAACATACTTTTTTAATTTATAATAGCTTCAGTTCTGTTTTAGTGAAACTGAGGCAAATGTTTCAGCTCTCTCCTGTGCGTCTATCCTCATGCAGGCTTTACATCCAGACCACCGATCCCCACTGTGCCTGTTGGCCCAGAGATCCGCCCAACCCCAGTGCCTCACCCCTGCTCTGCCAAGCAATTCCTGTGTGGCACAGGAGAGTGTGTCCACCTGGACAGGAGATGTGACCTGCAGAATGACTGTCAGGATGGCTCGGATGAGAAAGACTGTGGTACGACAGAGACAGTCCTCCTGTGGTCCTCATATTGGTGTCACTAATGAGTCCATGAAATTAGCTTTATTGTGATGTTAGAGGCTTATATTAAAGAAATGTTGCTGTATCATATTCACACACACGTTTTAAACACAGCTTGAGAGTTTTCCTTAGTTTTTTTTCTCATTTTCTTTAATGAGTCAAAGAGATCATTGACAAACACTTATAGGAATATAAGAAATAAAACCAATCACTTATTGTCTCAGTTATTACAAACGAAAGCATACTTTATTGTTATGGAAACAGCTTTTACTGTATTGCACCTTCATTTAATGTGTCTTAATGATAGACACTACATTCTTGGTAGTGTCAGAAGAACAGTGTTTCTGTCTATGGCAGAGATTGATTGCATCTTGGCAAGACACTACAGATGACTGGACTAACATAACAGTTATTAGAATCAGTGGTAGCAGCAGGTAGATGTATCATAGTACTGTTAAAGCTGAATGGGAGTAACTATTTTTCTGAAAAGTCTGAGGGATAATTTTGTATTTTTACTGGTGTGTTGAACCATGCCAACCATTGCTCCTGAAGCTCTTATTGTGTCCTTCTGGCCCTCTGTGTTCTACTCTGTTGCAGTGGACTGTGTGTTGTCTCAATGGACACAGTGGAGTCAATGTAGTGTATCTTGTGGCTTGGGCTCCCTGTTCCGCCAGCGGGAAGTCCTGAGGGAGGCCCTGCCAGAAGGAGAGTGTGGGGGAACAGTGTTTGACAGCCGGGCCTGCTTCACACGGGCTTGTGCAGGTCAGCACAGATACAGGGGCCTGCGGAACGTCTCACAGGAGACTGTACACAATCTCTCTCTCTCCCTGCCCTGCTCAATACAACCTCTCTGTCACTCTGTGTCTCTGTCATACCCTGCCTGTTTCACGCTGACTTACTGTCACATGTAGAAGTCAATGTTTGTCTCTTTCAGTAATGGTTTCTTGCTTTGGTCAGTACACCTATCCTTCTTTTTCTGTTTTCTGCTTTCACTTTATATCACATTTTTCTCTCACTTTAATATGCTTTCTCCATCTTTCTATACTACAAAAATCATCTCTCAACCGTTATCTTCCCCTTTTCTCTTTCCCCTCTCTAACCTTTCTATCTTGATCCTTGCCTACAGTCAACCTACTTGGAATGTTAATGCCTCTTTCACTTCCCTTCCTTGTTTCTTTCTTTCCAACTCCCCTTCTTTCTCTACTATTCCCTCTCATTCATCACCCATCCCTACATCTCACCCCCCCTCTCTTTCTTCTCTGCCCCCATCATTCTCTTAGTGCATGGCCAGTGGTCGGAGTGGACCCAGTGGTCTAACTGTGATGCCCAGTGCAGTGGAGGAGTGCGGGTCAGAAACAGGAGTTGCTCGAACCCTCCTCCTAAAAACTCTGGGCGGGAATGTGAAGGAGGGACCGTGCAGACACAGAGTTGTAACACCCACCCCTGCAGTACCCCCTCAGGAGGAGAAACAGGTGAGAAACAGATCCATATTTTGGAAAGGCTGCATGGAGTCCCTCTCTGTGTTTAACACAACAAGAGTAGGAGGTACAGCCTGGTAGACATTGTCTTTCTAGTTCAAAATATACTGAAATGTATAGAATTTGGATTAAGGTTAGTACTATATTTAGTTTGAGACCCTCAGAAGCAATAAAGACTTCAGTACATAGTGTATATTTTTAGCACCTTGTTAGAAAAGAAGAACATTGATTATCTCCTGTATTTACACACACAAACCTGTATACACACTCACAAGTCCATTCAACTGGAGAGCCTTTCTAACAGTTGGAAGTGCCATGCAGAAGAGTAAAGCACTCTCATAATCTGTGTCTCTGATGTCTAACCTCGTTCTGCCTTCTCCTGTCAGGCTGCAGTGCAGGAATGGTGTTGGTAAAAGAAGCAGATTGTCTTGCAGGCACAGTAGACCCCTGTCCTCTCACCTGCTCTGATCTCAGCACTCAAAGCAACTGTAGTTCCAAATGTATCACAGGTATGGGGCACTGTGCAGGGGATGAGGGGTGTAAATCTATGTTATGTATGTTACCCTTTTTATCCAGTATCTTTGTACCATATACAGTATGAACACTAAAAGAAAATGCCTGACCCCACCCCTTCTCTTTTACAGGCTGCCGGTGCCCTCCTGGCTTGTACTTGCAGGGGGGGCACTGTGTCAATGCCAGTCAATGCTTGTGTCTCTGGGATGGCCAGCTCCTGCAGCCCGGAGAACAGATCAGGAAGGGGAATTGCAGTCAATGGTAACTTTCCTCCAAACACTCAGACTGGGTTACATAAATATGTCAAGAACAACACAGGTGTCCCTATTGCACACTTGAACATTTCTTTTTGAGGCTTTTAAATAATTGGGAGGTTGTTTTTTTTCATTTTCTAAAATGTCATAATCCAATGCATTATTTGGGGTAGTATAGATCTACAGTATCCAATGTACTGTACAGTACATGTTGCTGTCATCTTCTGTTCTCTTCTGTACCTTTCTCCATCCATCCATTTTCAAACCAATGAACATTAAAATCAGAAAATTATTTTTAAATTCCTATTGCATCATCAACAATGTCTGATCAACCTCCAAGTTCAGTACCATGTGAGGATTTGACTAGTTAATTTACTAGTTCATTACTGTACTATGCCAGAATCAAAACCATTGATTCCATCTTGTCAATTTGAGTATTCGCTCCCTATCTGTACCCTCTTGTTTACTATCTATTAACCAGTTCTAAATCCAAAAACATACATTGAACTAAATTTCTACTCTCTGCAGTTTAATAATTAATATTTTATAAGAAACTTTTATCAAATGTGTTCTGAAAATCTATACAGTATATACCATAGCATATACACTGTCTGAATTACTGTTGCTGCTTGTTCAAAGATCTTTAAAAAGTCAATTTTTAAGACCTGCCTTTTCTAGATTAATGTTAACTAACCCTAGATATTTATGTACTGTAATATGGGTAATAAAATTCCAAGATATTGTTTTCGTAATTTTAAAGGTATTTTTTTAATTTTAAGACATTTTTTGTTTGTTTGAAGCTTGCATGCTGACAACACTTGTTTGTTGTTTTTCCCTATTTTAGCACATGCCAGGAAGGACACGTTTCTTGCAATGATTCCCAGTGTGAGATGAGATGTGATTGGACAGTTTGGTCATCTTGGGCACCATGTGACAGTAGCTGTGGTTTGGGACTGCAACAGCGGTACAGGTAAGTAATATTACTGCTTGGAGAAGTCTGTGTGATACACAGCTCATTGCTTCATTGTTTAATCACCACTATTTTCAATCTGAACACACTGAGTCAATCTGAGGGGCAGTGCGTTGTTATAATGACCTACTGTATGGTGATTGAAAATACCAGGCTTCTATTTCAAGGAGTAGTACTGCATTGGCTTCATTCACAAATTGTCATAATCTTTCAATTCACTTATTGTTTTTATAGATGGAATCACAGAGATTATTTTTTACTATACTCGTCAGCATTTAAAACAGTCGTTTTTAAATTTGAGGTCGCAGCTACCAATCCTTTGGATGGAGAAAGACTTATATGGAGAAAGACTCCTCTGAACCGCCCACCTTCGAGATTTGATTTTAACATGTCACTGGCAACACAGTCTCATACTGGGGTCATTTCCAACAAGAGGAGATGCGTGTCCCTCACAGACAGCACCATATTCCTGAAAGTGTCCTATAGGCCACATTGACTGCTGTTCTGCTGAGATCTGAGAGAATCCTGGCCAGCTAACCCCACCCTACATATGGTGACACTCAACCACCAGTTCACTGCTGCTTTGGGACTTCCCCTTACAGTCGGCTAGTGTTGCGATGAAGGCACATAAGGTTAATGTTATTGATCTCATGGTCATGGAGCTTAAGCTGTGGTCAGGCAATTACCTTTTCAGGTTAAGCCACTTGTGGGGCCTCTGGCTGTAGCTGAATTAATTCAGTGATTCCTCATCACTGAATTAGTCAATAATTCACTGTGGATTTAGTCAGTGGTATGAAATGCCTATACCAGGTCACAGCAAGGTGTTTACTTCAGTTGGGGTTAAAATGATTCCCTAATAATGTCTAAAGCACTTTAGAACCATTAAAAAAATTAAAATGGTGGATACAATGCCAATTTTGTGCCCATAGCCTGTGAGTTGTGCCTTTGTACTGATAAATTTTGTATTGTTTAAACTGCCACACTCATAATTACCCACTGTGCTCCCCACCATCGATCAGGACTCCAGTGATCCCAGTTAGTGTGAAAGTTGTCCCACCCTGCCCAGGAGACTCCACTGAAGTGCGTGAATGTCATACACCCTGTGAGACAGGTAAGGCTGGGTACAAAGTATAAAAAGTCCTAATTATTTTTTAATACACCCAAACCTCTTTTTACGAATGTTCTTTTTATGAACATTCAATACCACAAAGCCTGTGAATTGTTACCCACATTTCAAATTGTGGAAGTCAACTTCAAAACTACAAAGCGATATTGTTAGTTACATTATCATAATAATTCTGAATAATTCAGAAGATGTTGTCATACTGTAAGACTCATTTCATATTGAGAGCTCACATCAAATTCCAAAGCTTATGGAGTGACAGGAGAGACATCAATAATACAGTCATTTGTGCGCTCTTACAGTTTGTAAGTATTTGTTGGTTAGACTTTATCATGGACCCTAAAGGTGTTAAGAAAATGAAACACAAAAAAAGCAAATGAAGTGGTTATTATTTATGGTAGGTAGCTGCGTCTGCATGAGTAGGCTGCAAACGAAGTAATAGGTTTATTCCACAGCCAAAACATTGTGTTTTTTTTGTTTTCTTTTCAGCATGGAATAAACCTATTACTGGTTACTATTTATGTTTATTTATATATAACTAGGTAAGCAGTGTTTTTATTACTAAAAACACAAACCACAGTATGAATCTTAATTATTATTGTTTCTTTTGTAATTTTTCAGTGAAAAAAGTAATAGTAGGGGTGACGTTTGTTGTGGACCGAAATGGATTGGCCTTTTTTCTCCATAAGAAATAATATAAATATTTTTTTCTTTTATATGAAAGGGGTTCTGGGAAATAGTTATGTTTGTAATATATATTATAGGAGTGTATATGAAAAGTATTGAATAATACAGCACACCATAGTGTGGTTTTACACTCAGAAAGGTATGACATGCTGTAACACTTTTTTATTGACCATTATAGAACAAAATGCTATGCAATAACACAGTATAGCACATATAAGAACAGTTAGAGAAAACCTCCAACAGGTACAACATGATACCTTACAATATGTCATGAAAAAGCAAAGTGCACTATGAAACTGTTGGTATTGAAATGGATGTGTGCACCTGACCCAATGCCTGTGTTTGTCTCTGTTGCCAGGTCCTGAGCCACCGGGGTCACAGTGGAGTGAGTGGACATCCTGGTCTGTGTGCAGCAAGACCTGTTTCCTTCACGTGGACGATGTGGGGCGGAGGAAGAGGTTTAGGAGCTGCAACGGCACAGCAACCAATTCAACAGACATCACAGCGGATGACACATGCCCTGGGGAGGCTCAGCACGTGCAGCCCTGCAACACTGTACCCTGCCCAGGTACACTAACAGCAAGCCATGGCAATTCTGTACTGGAACCATCACGGACTCAGGATACAGGATTTGCCACAGGAAAGCCCTTATGAAGTAGTAGAGAAAGAAATGGAATGTCTTATTCTGTAACTGTCAGCACTTTCCAGTTCCATAAGTCATTTACTCTTTATGTAACCATAATTCTGAACACATCTGTTCTAGTACATTGGGCTTCGCAGCTCTCCTTCACTGAAAGAGTTAAAAGACATTGCCTTTTTGTCCTGTTCTAAGCTGGCCATTTAGAAGGAAGGGCCCCTGTAAAACTTACTCTCTAATTCAGTTTTTCTCTGTTCCCCTTTCCCTCTCTCTTGTTCTGCAGTATCTGGTGGCTGGTCGCCTTGGTCCCCCTGGTCCCTGTGCTCATCCGAATGTGACTCTGGAGTGCAGACACGCCAGCGTTCCTGCAGTGTCCCCTACCCACGGTATGGGGGCCTCCATTGCCCTGGCCCTCACATCCAGACGCGCGAGTGCAACACTCACCCCTGCCGAGGTACTGTCTCATATCCGCCAACATTCCCCTGCCGCCCTGTGCTCAGCAAACTCTTTCCAGTGTGACTTGGCCCTCTCTGTCTGCTTTCAGGAGCATGTCCGGAGGGGATGGCCTATCAGACTGCTGGGGAGTGTCATGCGCAGGGAGGTGCATGTCCACGGATTTGTCTGGACCTCACCCCCACAGTGGAGTGTGCCACTGCCTGTTACGATGGTTGCTATTGTTCCCCTGGCCTCTACCTGCTCAACGACTCCTGTGTGCCATTAAGTCTCTGCCCCTGTTACCACAAGGGGGCACTGTACTCTCCAGGCACCACCGTCCTTTGGGACTCCTGCAACAATTGGTACATCTCCAAGCTGCATTTACAGCACACACATTGTCAGAATTACTCGCACAGTCACAAGATAGGCAAATGAACCAGCAGTTACGAGGCTGGCAGAAAGAAAAGTGAAGTTCTGGTTGTTTGATGCCGTAAAATAAGTGTCTTAAAAATAAAGTTTATTGACAAATTAAGTAAAGATCACCTAAAGAATGAGATAGCATTTTTATATAGGTTTTTGTATAGGTTTTGTGTAGAATTTTTGTGTATGTTTCCATCTGGTTATCATTCCTCAATAAACAAGACAGAGTGTTTCCTACCTTGGGTGTAAACAATGCTGTATTCCTTTGTCTTACAGCACATGTTTTGATGGTGAGATGTCGTGTGGGACAGAACCGTGCCCTGGTGAGAGCTGTACCTTGGACCCATCAACCTATATGGAGCTCTTTATCTCACTCTCTTGCATTTGATGTGTTGTCTTACTGATTTCTACTTTGCCATTACCCATTCTTTTCCATTCTCTTCCTCTGCAGTGTGCTACAGTGTATATTAACACTCCTCTTTTTTCTCTTTCATGCTTATTGTCCCAGTGGACTGTGGCTGGAGCAGCTGGACACAGTGGAGCACATGTAGTAGGACCTGTGATGTGGGTATGAGGAGGAGGTACCGCTCAGGAACCAATCCAGCACCTGTATTTGGGGGGCGTGCCTGTGATGGCAGCATGGTTGAAATGGACTCCTGCAGCCTGGGACCTTGCCAGGGTCAGGAAAGATAGATGCTCCCGGCTCCCATGTATTGTCATTTACCAAGCAAGCATGTGCATGTGTACTCTTTGATAACCCTTTGCCTGCGTATTTCAGGTGTCTGGGGTGTGTGGAGTCCCTGGTCAGAGTGCTCAGTACTTTGTGGGGGAGGCTATAGGAATCGAACCCGAGATAGCCCCAAGGGTCAGAGCATGGAATTCGCCAGCTGTAACCTGCAGCCCTGTGGTGAGTCTTGGGAAAGGGAGAAGAGTAGGGGAGGAATTCAGAAGGCTGAAATATCATGCATTTGAACCACTATTATTACACGGAGAGGCCAACTAATTGTGTGACAATTTCATGCAGCTAACTTAATTTAAGGGTTTTAATACTTATGCAATCATGACTTTTCCATATATATTCCATTATATCTAATTTTTCCTTTTTTGCTTGTTATTTTGTAGGTGTGAAGTAGGTTGTGTACACAGTATAAAAAAATTAATTGCTATCTCAAACTGTCGTGACTGCAAGCTTTAAAGCAACAAAATGTTGAAATTGTCTAAGAGGTTTCTAGATCCGTATTAACAGTCATAGTTTAAATAATGTTCTCAGTTTTCACGTCATTTATGCAGTTTCTTTGTGTATCTTTTTCTATTACATTAACATCTATATGGTGCCTTAACTAAATTGTGTGTATTACTGTACATAAAGATAGGATAGTCTAGCAGTAGCTTAGAGGTTCAGTGGTGTTATATTGCCATATACTGTAGCTCTTCAAGATGGCCAATTGTGTTAATTTGTTATCTGCTATTATTTCTTGTTCTTTAATTTTCTGTGTGGCTAATGATATATAGAGTATACCAATTTCAGCAGAAGGCTTTGGCAAGTAGACTTATATACTGTAGTATAGTAGTTGATACTTGGTTGTTATTTTTTTCAGGTACAAGATTATTTAGATATGTCTACTCTCTCCTTCCATTTCTCTCTTCTTCTCAGGTAATATGTCAAGTTGCCCTGCAGAACAGGAATGGAGAGAATGTGCCAGGGGACCAGTAACCTGCTCTGACCTCAGAGTAGAATTTAACAACAGGAGCTGTGAACCTGGCTGCTACTGTGCACAGGGTCAGCTGCTGCAGGTAAATATCTGTCTCTGTCTGTCGCTCTCACAGTGCAGCTTTTTCTTTCTGTTTGTCCATCTGCAGGTCGGGTTTTCTGTCAGTCTGCATGCAGCTGCATTTCTTAGTGTGTCTCCTAGCTAGAATATCAGTTTATGTGCGGGAAATAGGGAGTGTAGTAAAATCCACCTGTTATTACATAGAGAGGTTTGCTTTGACCAGCTCAGTTGTAGTGTGTCTGTGGAAAGTTCAATGGCACAGCTGACTGTGTTCATTGCACCATATTCATTATAATTCTACTGTATCTCTATGCTCTTCAGGATGGACAGTGTGTTCCTGTGTCTCAGTGTCGCTGTGTGGTGGATGGGAAGCAGTATTTACCAGGAGATACTGTGACAAGGGACTGTAACAATTGGTAATGTTTAGCGCTCTTCTTTTTCATCTGGATCTTTATACCATTTCCTTGCCTATTCAAGTTTTCTCCTCTTCCACACACATTTTCATCAAATATTGGGCAAAAGAGAATACTTAACCAAAGGTGATTCATGTATGCTTCTTAAAGATGTTTATACTGTATTTTCGAAATTTCAAGGAAACTTCAAAGGTTGATTTATTTATTGACCATTATAGTCTATTCTCAAATGACAAAGCACTACACAAAAATAAAGTAATCCAGGATATTCTGACTTGGATGTTTACTTATACTCAGCATATTCTAGTAGCTCCACCAAGAGTGATATCTAGTGTCTCCTTCTGCATTGGGCTATTGTATTTATAGTACCTGCCGTGTATTGAGTTTGTTCCTGCTTTGTTCCACAGTTCCTGTGAGTCTGGGCAGCTAGTGAACTGCACTGAGTTCAGCTGTGATGGTGAGTCTTTGAGGTTTAATCTAAACTGGTCTGGTTACCCTGAGGACTGACAAACAGTACACATTGCAGCAGTGAAATCCACCTCACTATCTCAGTTTGTAGTTTAGAATCATACTCCATATACAGTATACTACATGGTTTTATTTTACTGGGGGAAAATCATAGGCACGATAGGAGTAGAATATTATGCCTTGCTTTTTTCACTTTAACACTGTGTAGAATTTCACTGTCTGAATGGAGCACTGTATAGAATCATACTGTCTTACTGGAAAACTCTGTAGAATCACTCTGTCTGACTGGGACACTGTTTAGAATCACACTGTCTATCTCTTCTTTTATCTCTCATTTTTATCACCTTTCCCCTCCCTTTCTTCTTTCCACTATTTCATTTTTCTGTCTTACATTTTAAGGTATATTACTAATTTACTGGATCACAGGTATTGCCACGCAATGCAGCTTACATTTTGGCAGCAAAAGACTTTGCACTACACATCCATAAACAGATAATTAATGAGCTCATCTTGCCATTCAGTCTGTCTGCCTGCCTACTGTCATTCTTCCTCTCTCGTTTTATATCCAGTCGATGGCCAGTGGTCAGTGTGGACTCCTTGGAGTGGTTGCTCTGTGTCATGTGGGCCAGGACTACAGACCCGGTACCGGTTCTGCTCCAGCCCAGCAAGATCAGGGAGTGGACTTCCCTGTCTTGGACCAGATCGACAGGATCAGATCTGCCTGCTAACAGCTTGTGACCGTGAGTGGCACACTCAGGAAGTACAAAGTGGAGAGAGTGGTGAAAGGTGTGAAGTCAAAACCGGCATTAGAATAGGGACGATTACATGAAAATAAGTCGGTCATTGAGAGAAGGGGGATGGTGTGAACCTAGTTTCAGGATGGGTTTCGTTTCTGTTGTTTTTCTGCTATGGGAGTTGAGAAACCCTTCTTTGAGAACAGAGACAGAGAGATCAGGGTGATCATGGCCGTCTGAGGTGAATTGAGAAACTACGGGTTTGGAGAAATCTTTCATCTACACAGCCCTAATGTTCTCTGAAGCAGTCTGCTAGTCTCCTTCCGGTTTCCCCAATGTAGATAGCTGGGCATTTTCACTGTGTTCTCCAAACCTAAGTAATTTAAAGATAATTTGGAACCACAATCTAAGTAATAATCAAGGTACTCTTAATTAAATACTTTCTTTAATTTCATTAATGCATTACAGGTGATTAATTGGAAATAATTGGAATAGGCCCTCTAAAACTGCTTTCACTGAAAAAATACCAGATTAAGTGATCCCTTTTTAAAGGACTAAAATCTGGGGGCAGAAATTGTGTGTTATGTGACTATGCTACAGTAAACTTCATAAACAGTAATTCTGCATAAGCAACATATAATAATTATTTTACTACCCAGGAAATATACAGATAAAAGGCATAGTGAAAAAATTAGTTCCATCTACCATTATGTTGTAAATGTGAGGTGAATAGAAGTACATTTACCTTCTTTATTCTCTGCTATGTATTACTCAATCACTATGTCAGTAGGCACAGTGTGTGTTTAGCCTAATCTGAACATAACTGTCCTTTCTGTCTTCCTCATTTTTCCCTACAATTCTGCAATGTTGGTGCAGGCAATGGAGGCTGGGGTATGTGGAGTAACTGGACAGAATGTTCCAAATCATGTGGTGGGGGTGTGAGGAGCCGCAGGCGGGAGTGCGACAGCCCATCACCAGAGGGGGATGGAGATTACTGTGAGGGGCTGCGCACAGAGGTCAGCTCCTGCAATACTGAGCACTGCCCAGGTAATAGAGCACACACTACCGTACAAATACTGTACTGGTCCTGTAACATGCACACTGTCACACACACGCACACACTGGTAAACACATAGTGCTGAAAGCACAGCACTGTTCCATACTCTGGCAAGCCTACTCTCACTGATTGCACACACACAGGATACTGTATGGCTACCACACACTGAGGTTACATACAATCTGCCCTGGACGTACAGCAGCCCCTTCTGGTGAACATATATCGTACTATAGAAATTATGCTTCAGCTTATTGCTTAGGTCTTCGACTCGCTCTGTGTTTCTACTCTCTCACAGTGCATTGTATGACTGAATGTGTCTGTGTGTTGCAGTGCCACCTTGTTCAGAAGTGCCTAGCACAGTCTTCAGCAGCTGTGGCCCCTCATGCCCTCGCTCCTGCGATGACCTGGCGGTGAGTCCTGCCAGTATTATAATACACCGTGCTGTATTATTAAACCGCATTGCTAAGGACTATGCACAGCTCCTGGGTGAATTAAAACAACCTGACTTTCGTTAATACAATGAATGAAAACAACTGAAACCAATGAATTATTCTTCTGACCACTGGAGTGGTCTGACACCTTCAGATTTGGGATTCAATTGCAAAGTAGGGGGAGTCATTCTAATTCAAATTTCACAGGTTCTCACTCTTTCTTACTCAAGAGACTTGATCCAAAGCTTCAACCACAATGTTACACTGGTCCTGAGGTGTGAAAGAATTAGTAGAATGTAATTCTTATAGGTTGCCGTACTGCACAGATGATGCAGTACATTAATATGTAAATAGTGCGTATATATATACAGTAGTAGATTGAGGGGCAGTTGGTTAGGCAGTTACAGAGTTAGTGTAGTAAGAGTTATAGAGCACTGTGTTAATAAAGTGCTCATTCATCATTAAGAAGCTGTGTGATTAATGACCGCCGTTAAGAACACAAATAGAGAACATAACAATGTGCACTGAGGAATAAATACAGAACTGTTTCAGATTTTTCCTTAATGAAACAAGTTTGAATCCTACAGTATAGCTCTTTTACATTGTGCTGTTTTTCTCTGTTTCACTATATATTACTATATAAGTTTCACTACTTTTTTTTAGCTTTATCTCATTGATGTCATATAGCTACAGTGGTGAGAAAATGCTTGTGCACCCTCAGTATCCATCCATTTATTTTCTAACTGCTTTACATGGTTTACAACCATCCAATACATGGTTGCGAAGAAGCTGGAGCCCATTCTTGCAAGCAACAAGGATGCTAATGCATTGCAGGGCACACAAAGCTTTTCTCAGTCACACTTTGACTTTCCTGCCTTACTGTCTTTGTTTCCTTGAACAGCACTGTGAGTGGAGCTGTGAGCCAGGGTGTTACTGTACTGGGGGAAAGGTACTGAGTGACAATGGAACATCTTGCGTGGACAGAGAGGCCTGTCCTTGCCTAGACGTGCTCACTGGTCAGAGGCTGGCCCCTGGTGAGAGTATCCCAGCCCCAGATGGCTGTAACACCTGGTGAGAGAAAGACTACTCTGACAACTCCTACACCTCTTTAATTAATACCTTCTCAGCATCCATTTCAATTGTTGTATGAATGTCTTATACAATATGTAAAATTATTAATTTCATATATGAATTAATTTCTCATTCAATCTGTAAATTTTAACCAAGACGTTTCTGAAAAAATATTGTGTCTGGGTTTTTAGGCCAGGTCTTTATAACCTGTTTTTGTTTGAACTACTGGTCTCCTAGCACATTCACATGGTGAAGTAGCCATATTTTCCTTTAATAATTCACCCATCCCTGCTGATTTTCTGAAATGTGGCTTCATTCATAAAGTATAGAGTTACAAACCAGAGAGACTGAATAGTTTTACGGCGGGGTATAAAAAGGGAATTGGTCACCAGCTTGCCTTGTAAGTATATTATAAAACATACCCTATAATTGCAATTCAGTTACTGTATATTGTATATGTGTGTTTTCTTTGTTCTCCAGCACAGTGTGCTAACAGAATCATAGACAACCTAACAAAAACAAAACAAATATTAATTCACATTTACAAGACATTGAGTTCCAGGGCCCTGCACTATAGAAAACAGGAAATATCCGTAGACAAATATGGTAGTGGAACAAGACCTAACGTTTTATTTAGTCAAATAAAAGTTCCTATACAAGACCATAATACTCAGTAAATGGATACCAAATGAATGGGAATCTCTATTTAGACGGGAATCATTTATTACCAAACGAGCAAGAAGATTTCTTTAGTTTGGTCGGTACCACAAATAGGAACTATTTCCACAACTCAATCCCAGCAATCCCTTTGTTAAATCCAAGATTTATTTCCTTCAATACTTGAATTCCCAGGATATGTTTTGTCAACTGGTTTTATGACAAAGTGCTGTCTCTTGTCTTCTTTGGGTTTTCTTCATCAACTGCTTGATGCCTATTTACTGTTTTACTGTTTACTCTTAAGGATTGTTTTTCCTGTGCCATCCTCAAGAAGATGGACTTAATAATCTACTTTAAATGGTTTGGTAATAGATAAATACATATTTCTATAATTTCCTGGTCATCTGAAGTCTGGCCATTCTCAGTACTCAAGTGACAAGATAAGACACAAACCTACAGTAATTGTTTATCATATAGTACAGTGTTTCTCCAAAGTAGGAGTATCACAGTGTCTCTGCTCTATTTTAGTACCTGTGAAAGAGGAAGGCTAACCTGTACGAACAGGCCTTGCCCTGGTGAGTATTTGAGAAACATAGTGATATCTGCACACACGTTCAGGTTCAAATGCTTTATTGTCATGACAGAATAAACAAGCATTGACAAACATAACATAAACAAAAATATTCCAGAATGTTGCAAACCAACAGACGTGAGTTAATTGTCCCATCACTGTTCTGGTACATTTTGACCTTTCAGTATAAGACAAACTGTGTTCTACCTCTTCACTCTGCTAGTAAGAACTGCATTGTTCACACACACTTGCTCAGACATTGGCAATATACAGAATAAGCTCAGACATGCTTAGATATTCACTTGGATCTTTTGCATTCATGAGCCTAGTCATGCATTGTCTTTCAATCCCTCTCTCTTTTGCTGCTCCCTTTCTCTCAACAGTGTCTGGGGGGTGGTGCAAGTGGTCAAGTTGGACACCCTGCTCTCGGACATGTGGGGCAGAGTGGGTGACACGGTACCGGAGCTGTACGTGCCCTGAGCCAAGTGGAGGTGGTGCAGCATGCCCAGGGGAACAGGAAAAACACTCCGGCCTGGGAGTCCAGATACAGAGACAGCCCTGCCCCTCTCTGACCTTCTGCCCAGGTGACACACAAACTGTGCAGCACATTGAGAGCAGGATTCTCCTCCATACCACCTCCTAAAGTGACAGATTGTTTGACTGTACAGTCTTAGATCTTCTTAATTATAATGGAGAATTCAAAATACTGCGTTAAACTTTAATTTGTAATATAAATAGAAGATAGGCAATAGAAATATTAAAGAATATATACATTCCTAAACAAAGAGAAGTGAATCAATGCCAAAAAATCTTTAGCTTATATAATGGAAATTGTGGTGTTTAAATTTAGATGATTGATCTTAAAATGGTACAACATACAGGTTCTTGTCAGATCCAAGTGATAATATTTGAGCCAATAACCAGTTCTGGTCACTAGTATACAAAAAGGACATTGCTGTCCTGGAGAGAGTTTTATAAGACTGACTAAAAAACCTTGGAAAGAGGGAATAGTGGGGACATAATAAAAGTAATGTCAGACTAGTTCAAAACAAAAGCCCAGTCACACAAATGAAAATTAAGAGGTACTGTAGAAGATGTACAGTAGGATAGCAAATTAGAAACATTTCTTTATAGCCTTGATTTTAATGCCGTTTCTATCTGATTTGTCAAGAAATATCCAAATGAGACCATTTATCAATGATATACTAGTAATAAAGCAAATAATACAAATGATTTATTAACATATAATACTTTTATTATTGTACTAAATAGTTTGGTGTGTATTTTTTATCAGTTTCAGTGAGTGGTTCATCTCATTTTCTGGCTTTGTCACTAAAGTTCTCTATGACGTTTGAATAAAACTCAAAAACTGTTTCTGTCTCTCACTCCTGAAGTCCATGGGTCATGGGGCTCTTGGGGCCCATGGTCAGAGTGTGCTGTCTGCGAAGGGACATCTGTTCGTGTTCGAGAGTGTAATAGCCCTCCTGCCCGATTTGGGGGTCTACCCTGCCATGGGGTGGCCCGTGAGAGCCGCAGCTGTCGTGACAACAGCACGATCTGTGAAGGTCAGCGTTTTTGTGCATCTCTCTTCCTCTCCAAGCAGCATGCTGTATGTATTCCGGTGTCTATCTTTGTACTTCCAATACTTGTAAACTGGAACTGAACATGCAATGTGCTGATTGTTAGGAATTTCTCAGGGTTTAGTGAGAAGTTTGACTTTGGCAATAACATTGTGAAAAGCTAAGTCCCCTGAGGAGACAGAAGATACAGTATAATCAATGAACTGATCCTAGTTCACTCTTCAACATGATCATAAACAGCAACACAGGGATACAGAGAAGTAGGGAGTTTCCCTTTTAATACTGCAGGTCTGTCCACACAGAAGAAATTCTTCTCAGAGGAAAGAATCTACTGAACAGGCAATAGCAGGTGAAAATAGACCATAACAACCTTCCAAGATTGTTACAGAAATATACAGTAGGGATGTATTTTGATATATCCTGAATACACCTTGTGCTGTATATTGTTATTATAGGGATAAATCCAACATAAGAATAGGAATCTGGAAAAGTAAGATCACTTTTACAAATATAGCTTTTCTTGATTAACTAATAAATGTCCAAGTATCCTTTTTTTAAATTATAAGTAGTTATAGTAGTAGTATAATTATAAAGGAACAAGTAATAGGTTTATTCCATGCTGAAAAAAAGAAGAAAGAGAACACAACGTTTCGGCCGTGGAGCCTTCTTCAGGTGTGAGAGAGACAGGGCAGTAGGCAAAGGTAAAGTAGCGGGAGAACAAAGGTTCGGGAGAACAACCGGGAGAACCCGCTACTTTACCTTTGCCTACTGCCCTGTCTCTCTCACACCTGAAGAAGGCTCCACGGCCGAAACGTTGTGTTCTCTTTCTTCTTTTGTTCAGCATGGAATAAACCTATTACTTGTTCCTTTGCAGCCTACGCATGCTGACGCAGCTACCCACCTGAAGTATAATTATAAGTCTGGGTTTTTAATGGACATTGAAAAATCCAGTGACTATTCCCTTCAAAGCCATGCCAAGCTGAGAGACTGCTTGAACATTCAGCTTTGTGCTTGAAACACAAGGGATACCTGTCTACTTTTTTGCAGTTTGGAAAGTTACATTTAAAAGCAGGTGTTTACAAAAAGTGCTGATAAAAAGATGGGTTAAAACTTCAAAGCAAATTAGTTTTTCAGGAGGGAACTGTCTCTTTATCCCCAAAAATTAGAAGTATTATTGAACATTTTGAGAAAAATTACCTTCCTCTCTTCCTGGAGAAAAAATGATTGTGCATGTCAGATACTACATTATTTCATTGTTGTATTTTGAACAGTTCACAGACAGTGAACTAAGCATTTTCTTGAAATATGGGGCTGTGTTACTGTTCCAATTTCATCATATTATGCATACTAGCAGAAAAGGTGAGAAACTCCTGCATATTTCTAGTAGTATATTAAAGACACACTAACCTATACAGAGATCAAAATGAGTTTCTGTATCTACACTTTATTGTAAAAATACTTCACGGGGTTTTGCTGTTGATATATATGGTTACATGAGACAACTTAACGGTATACGGCATTGCAGTATGAACGACAAGGGTAAAATAGTTACATCCATTCTTTGTTTCTTCGTCCAGATTGTGGCGGGGGACAGGTGCAGCTGGCCTGTGGGAAGCCGTGCCCACAGTCCTGCTCTGATCTCCATGGTGACACAGAGTGTGTGGACTCTCCAGGGTGCCAGCCCTCCTGCGGCTGCCCGGGCCAGCAGGTCCTGCAGGATGGGCAGTGTGTGGATCCAGGACAGTGCCGGTGCAAGTATCTCAACAGCACCACAGGTGGGCGAGTCACAATGACGAAAGCTGACATTTTCTGAAGTCTGTTTGAAAGCATGAGGTTGCAGCCTAAAATATCAGGGAGACAGAGTACGAGTGAATGGTGAACAGTTTATGATAGGAGATGAAGTCAGAAGGAACAAACATGGTTAATTTTCAAAATGTACAAACAGGTTCTTTGAAAATGTATATTAAATGTTTTTAATGGAGAAATTAGGGCATACTGTATGTTTGGAAAGTATGTTTGTAAAATAGTTGATTAAACTCAAGCACAAATTAAAAAGGACACTAGAATGGCTAAGGGAGAGGGAGACATACAGTATTGTATGATTTTAAAATGGAAATTAAAATTGAATTAAAATTAAAACAAAGGTTTAGGTTTTTCCTATATCGTGAAAGGCAAAGCACAATAAAGAGTGTAGCATCTAAAATATATTAATGGATTAAGCACAGAGGATGAAAAGAATATCCTAAATGTACTAAATTGATGTTATGTTGGAGGTTGAAGGGAGGAAGAAAGTTTTATGCAGAGCATCAGGACATGGTGACATTTTTCCATTCTAATACAAAAACACCTAAAAACAACCGCTAAAAAACATTTTGTTTCAGAATGCAGAAACTGACATTTTAGTTACTCTCTGTTTCTCTCCAGGAGTGCTGGAGTCTGGGAATGGATCCCGGGTTTGGCCGGGAAACCCAATGTGGCAGTACACAGAGCCAGGAGAGACCATCATCAGTACCTGCCACAACTGGTACTGCGCACACCGCAAAGTCTGTAACAGCTGCTACTGCACAGACTGATTACCGTACACACTGCATAGTGTCTCACACCTGGGACTGCACAGACTGATTACTGTACACACTGCATAGTCTTTCACACCTGGGACTGCACACACTGATT